ACACGTGACGATCATAGGAGTTATTGGGTTGCTACTAGTCTTGTCTAGAATAATGACTGATGTCTTGCTTCGAAAGCTATGCAATGATCCATGGAAGTAATGATCACGTGTTTATCTTTAGTCAGTCGTTAGAACACCGTCACAAATATTGCAGGCCAACAATTGTTGCTTTTTTATATTAGGGCTGCCTTCGATTTGTTGGACAGGATTACTCTCTGGGAATGTTTGTAAGAGAGAAGTGTTCCTGAGTAGTTTTTTTTTAATCCTGAAGGCCCTATACAGAAACACCTAAGGTAGAATCAGGACATGGGCTACCTACACCGTCTTCTCCGTGTCAGCTTGTCTTTCAAAAGTCGACTTTACAATGCTTAGATGAGAGCAGTCTTGCTCTACACCGAGCTGAGAATGTACAGCGACTCTGTGTATTTGACTATCGCTGCTAATAACATCATCGCGAACGTAATTCTTAGGTCTGGCAGCATGTCTGGACACGGTGGAGTGATTGTGTAGTCATCTGGGAATACCGGTTCCGGTGGTTTGGACATGTGCTACGAATGTAATCCCAGAGGCTCTCTTACGAGTCTCCGCTCGCTAGCCATGGGACTGGATGAAAATAGCACATGTCATCAGGGCATGACGTGGCTTCGTGGGATGAAGGATATTTATGTTAGGTTAGTTAGCATCATTTGGTACATCACCACTCTCTGGTTGGGGTCCGAAAGATAGTACGGATCGGTGGCATGAAACGTTATCATCAGATATGGTCAAGAATCGTAATCAATGGTGAACATGCTGTGAATTCCTTCGTTCTCCCCTTTCTGAATGTTCCATGAAGTAATCAATGTAAAGTGATTTTGAAAATTATGCTTGCTTGCTTTCTAAATGACGCCCCTCATTTAATCTATCCTTAGTTCCTCTATATTCACTTGTTTCATTATTTTTATGTGACGCATCTTTTGATGTTTACCATGTACAAAGTCTCTGTTTTAAATAAACAAAATAATAAAGCAACGCATTTTGCACACACACAGGTAACTGGGTGCACAAATACGCGCTATTCTGCATCTAATTTGAGGCAATTAACTGGTACTTGACAACAAACGACTATTGATTTCCCCAGTACTTTCAAAAGCCTACATACATAAAATGTTTTCAAAATCTCTCAGAAATATACTGAGTAGTGCATATTCAACAGAAACGAACTTGAGAACACACGGTGAGAAAGAAGCAGTCTTTTACGGACCACTCCGTTAGGCGGTACAAAATAATCACCTACTGTCCTTACAATTCTATGTTCAAAGTCTCACTTGAATGACCTAGTTTCCACTCGCCTTTCACTCTATAGAAAACCCTAACTGTAACCCTGAAGAAATTGGTAACCTACTGAACACATCAATGCATAAAACACAAGTGTCCTTAAACTTATAACAGTTCAGAATAGAGATGAAGGACATATTTTATTATTACAGTAAATTCACAAATTAAAGTTGTTTCCTAACATATCAGAAGTCGAATGCTTATTTGAGTACGTTGAATAACCATGGGACAAAGCTAATTACTTTTTCATTTCACCTCTTCATCATAACTACATGAAACAATTTAACTAAAAATTACATCAACTGCCTTTAAAACATCTCCATATACAAACACAAATGTAAACAAATCACCTGTTTTGTACCGTTATGTACACTGTTTTGTACAATTACTAAAGCTTTTCTTTGGTTTTCTTTGTTTCAATAGGCTAGTTACACTAAGTTAAACAATAAATCACATGCAAATCTATTTATCTGTTAATGAGCCACACCTTTCGTCTTAGGACTGATTATACTGACTGATTGCTCCAACTCTTACAAACGAATTGGAGTTTGGATGCATCGATGACTAATTTAAGTTGACTGTCTGACTTGCCTTTACGTGTCGCAGGTGTTCCCTACAAAAGTGAGAGGGTGAATCCAAACAACTGGTGCACACACAGGTCCACGTAGAGGATCTGGAAAGCCCTCACTCCAAACCTACCCTCCAGAACTTCAATGGGTCGAACGGACCGTGGACCTGTCCATATTACGGGGAATCACGGGGAAGTAGCTCCTGAAGCCACTCCAGGAGTGGCCCCTTCAGACAACCACGTAATCCAGTTCGTGCACCCATGCAATATTCCATCCCTCGAATACACTATGAGATTTTCGTGGTGCCCATTATGTACCATGTTTGCATATTAAAAAATAAATAGTCTAACTCCATGAGTCTGTCTGTTTTCGACATAGAACTTTGCACAAATGTGCGGAAGTTCAAGTCGCCACATTCCGTGTAGCACGCGAAGCAAGAGAAGAAAGTACAAGAAAAGCATAATAGAAACAGTGAGCAGAGGTGTGAGACAAAGGAGTAATAAAGCAATACAAAACAGTTTCATTGGAAATCATAAGTCACAGGGAGTGGATGCATCTGCGCCACTGAGGACGGTTTTGAGCCATATCACCAATTGTTTCCAACCATAGATTTTTACCGTCCCGAGGACCCCAGCCTGGAAGTCTACACCTTTCTACGTGGCTTAGACCAACTGTTGTGGATTTCATTGACTGATGCCAAGTTTTTGTTTGACCGCCGCTAGCTTTTTTCCAGCCTGACCCTATATCCGCTAACATTGCTCGTCGAGGGAGGCGATGGCTTGGCATACGTAACACATGTCCTAACCATCTCAGTCTTTGTAGCTTCACGACTTCGTCGATTGATTTCCCCTGTTTACCTAGAACTCTACGCCTAACCTCCATGTTGCTCACCTCATTATACCACTTCACACGTGAGATACAGCGCAGGCACCTATGATCAAAGACAGCTAGTCTTTTCATGTCTTCCACTCTCAGTGGCCAGGTCTCACAACCATAAAGGAGGACGGAGCGGACTGATGAGCAGTACACCCGCCCTTTGGTCGATAGTCGAACATCTCGTCTACGCCAGAGTCGGCGTAAACTAACAAATGCGAAACGAGCCCCTTGTATTCGTGCTGAGATTTCGTCAGAGATCAGCCCGTTGGGGCTGATGGTACTTCCCAAATAAGTGAAGCGGTCAACGTGCTCTACCACTTCACTTCCTATTTTTAAACTAGGCGTCGATGCAGTCCAGTCCTGTAACATCATCTTGCATTTGGCGGGAGCGAATCGCATGCCAAACATTCGTAGATTGCGGCTCAAGGTGTTTAGAAGACTCTGCATTTCGTCAGTGTCTTCGCCTAGAAGGACTATATCGTCTGCATATTCCAAGTCAACGAGATTATTCCCCGGTAGCAAGTCAATCCCTGAGTCGCTGAAGTCACCTAGGGTTAAGTCCATTAACACATCTATGATGAAGTTGAATAGAAAAGGAGATAATGGGCATCCTTGACGGACACCACTGGTCGTCATCAGTTCAGATGACAGCTCGCCGTAAGCCCTCACCTGGCTGTATGAGTACGAGTAGAGTGCCTTAATCAGTGCAATATATTTTCTTGGAATTCCCTTTACAGCCAAGCATCTCTAGAGAACTTCCCGATCGACAGAGTCGAATGCTGCCTTTAGGTCAAGAAATATAATGACTGTTGGACGCCGGTAGGAATGCCTATGTTCTAGAATCTGTCGGAGGGTGAAGATATGATCAATACACCCTCTTCCTGGTCTAAAGCCTGCCTGGCTCTCTCGTGTTTGTGCTTCCCGAGCACCACTCAGTCTACACATGATTATTGAGCCTGACTTTAGATACTCTATTAGTCAAGCTAATCCCTCCATGAGTCCCAACTCTAAATCAGTTTATAGAGCGTCGTGCTACGCAACATTCACGCTGAACACACTAAGTCACTGAGGTAGAGAAATATATCCTGCAAGCACAAAGTAACGCCTACTTATTATCGTTCCAAATGGCAAGATAGAATGCGTAAGATAATAAGTATTTTACGTAGGATGATAAGTCACACCGAACATAACGCTAGATAAAGATTTTTTGATGTGAGTTGTTCAGTTAAGCAACACGTAAGGAGAACATAGTTACTAACCAGAAGCAATGATGATAGTCAGAAAAAATAACATGTGAATTAAGTGGGTTCGCTCCTACATCCACTCAAAAATCTAACAGTAATCCATCATTGACCAGGTCATATAGATCACTAACATGTTGGCATGAAGGTCATTTTCAAAGATGAAAGACGATTTGTCTTCAAATATTCTGATGGTTATAATTTAGAAATAATCTTGATAATTTGAATTAACAGTAAACAACGTAACAGTAAAGAAAAAGAGAAAAATACTAGGATTTCCCATCAAACTTAATGTCATCCAGCTCTAATTCACAATATATCAAGTCTCCTTATTTTAAATGATATGTTATCATAAGTCTGTGACTAAGTAGTTATGGTATGTCAACGAATATACTGCTGAGATCCTACGTTAAATGAACAAAGTATCAGCCTTACATCTTTCTCACATTTTAAAGATCTAGCATCGAAAATATATATAAGCATGAAAGCATTTCAGTTCCTGAAGTCATGCACTAAATTCTTGGGATTTGGTTTTTTTTATTTTACCCACTTTTCCGCTGTTTATGATTTTTGGTTAATGTATACAATCAATTACTCCAGAAGTCAATGTAGCATAACTTTATACATAAGTGAGTTTCCACTAACAAATACCATAAAGTCAATCCTAAAGCAACGTATCAACCTTATTACAACTCTATTTTGCTTTTGATTTGTTCACCGTAACGCCGTACGCCTTATTTTTATTGTTATTTGTATGTTTCTAACTACAAGATGACATTCTTAACCTTATCGTATAATGTGCAGTCACCCTATGGTAAGCAATATTTAAGGACCTGAACTTTTGAAGTGGACATTCAGAAGTTCTCTCCTAAGCATCTATCATATTGGCATCTTTTCCATATAAATTTATATGGAAGACTTTAAAGACTAGTATCTGCGTTTAATGGCTAGCTAGTATTCAAAGTTATTAACGTTTGAAACCAAAAAATCGACAAACCTGAGCCAATCCAAAAGCGACCTTTCCTTGTGGCACACCTTCATGTGGACCACCACGGAAGATATATTTCTCAGCGGCTGTATGAATAGCAACACAGCTGAAACGAATACATTCTACAATACTGATTGACACATACTTTAGTTTCTCGTTAAAATCTTTTGGATTGAAAAACACTCTGTTTGTCAGTGAAACTTCCTCGTTCGGAGCTTTGGTGGCGAAAAATTTCATTGAGAGAGAATAAAACGACGACCTTGAGACGATACAAATTAACCACTAAGACAACTATTGATTTTAGAACAGTAAAACAAACAAGTACGTAGTATGAACAGTTTTCAACTTTCAGAATTGATATCATTGTCAATCCGAGTGGCACATGTGTCTACGAGTATTTAGCCTACTTTTGAAACATTTTACTGAACTTTAAACAAAATTCATTTTAGGCTGTCGGCTGACTGGATATATATATATATATATATATATATATAAGCAAACAACTAAACTTACTTCAGGAGCTGTCAGACAACACGGCAACAACACGAGTCGGTAGTGATCTTCTCAGAAGCCACATTTCAGAGGAACAGAACTTTAATCGTTAGATTTTCGCCGCCTTTGGTCAGCGAATATCTCTGGATTAACTTTGATATCATATTTTTGCTCAACCGGCTGCAACTTCCCATATATACTGCATTTATTAGCCGTTATTTTATGAGATTTCACCAAGCGAGCTATGATTCTTTGGTAACTGAAGATCTAGACATCTAGCCTCCCTGCTCCATCCATAATACACTCCTAAAAGAACCATACAGAAGAGTCAGCCACTAAGGGGATGTGGCCAAAGCCATCACAACTGTTTGTCGTTAGGTGCTCTTATAAATTAGTTATTCACACAGATGTATAAAACATGACTTGGACCTCACAGTAAGGTTCACGATGTCATCATATTACTAATTTTGAAAGCAAAATAACACCGGTTATTGTTGAAAATGTACTTAGTAAGCAAGCAGGTGGGCAATAAAGCTGTGAAGCCCGTTCAGATACATGGAATCGTATTCACGGTTCAGTCCCTTTCATTGTGGTATGGAAACATTATAAAGTATATATGCGCTATGCATGAGACTGAACTGTCAAATACCAAAATAGGGATATTTCTATTGATATTTACTACCAATTCAGGGGTGACAGAAACATTGACAGCTCTAATATTAAAGCCACACAGTGCTTCAACCCAGAGCTCATCACAGATAGCGACTCGGTATGGGCTATTCTAAGACTCACTCCAATTCCTATCTTATAGGTTGCATCTATCATCCCCCATGCTCAACTATCGTAGGTGATATGAGGCATGTTAACGTGTTCACTTTCGCCACTCCACTGCTTCACACGATTAAAATTATATGTGGATACTTTAATACTTGAATAACCACCTCGCTCACCAAAACAGTGTGGGGAATTTTCGAACACAACGGAAACAAAAAACTAGCGAAAACGCGTAAAACATCTCACTGGAGTATTTACGATTTTGGGCCTAGTTTACACCAATGGTATCATCCTCACAACCCTTCGAACAGTTAAAGTTTTCCGGAAGCGACTACAGAGTAGTATTTCTTGCATTCAGTATAAATACCAGCGTGAGTTCAAAAATATGTGCCAACAAATTGTTACTTGTGGGTTATAGACATGCTCAGCTGGATGACCTAAGACTATGCATACGCATCCTATGCTGGGGCCATACATTACACGCAGCTTGTTTACAGAGGCAAACAATTTGCTCAATCAGAATTCAGGATCTGCACAAGACTTCATCGCTCCAGCAAGACTGATGAAAACGGGGCCTTAACAGTCTGACTTCATCCCCGTAAAGATTTGAAACCGTCTGCGTAAGCAAGCGAGGCAATTCAGACGCATTGGCAGAACTAATTAAATCTCTTCTTAGCAATAACAGAATAAGTATTTCCAACTAATTACTAGATGGATAAAAACGATGCGAAGCCCAACAGAAGATATGCGAGTAATTCAGCCCCCACTTTGCTAGCTACTTTATTAACGAAGATACAGCAAATAGTCCTTTTGTTCTGACACTACCAAGTGACTTTTTGCTAAAAAGACTTTAACTCCTCAAAAAATTTCATCCGCTAAAGCATCTCTCCGGACGTCATTTAATGCCGGCCCTGATGGGATTCACATTATAAAGGTCAGAATTAGGAAAACATGGAAAGTTTTCGCAAATGGTGCGTTTAATAATAATAATCACTTTATTCCACAACAATAACAATTTACAGCATGGAATTTTCAGCGTTTCTTTTACATATTGCAATGGTTTAGCTCTGTTTATAATTATATAAATATATAAGATGTTAAAATATTGATAGTTAATAGGAAAAAATAAAAAAATAAAAAACACCCCAACAAAATCACACCATTTCTAGGTCATAGTGAATAATAAATAAATAATATAACAAATAACAAATGCATTAATATGCATCATTTCATTTTATAGTTTAGTTATCGATTCAAAAGTTGTAGAAGTTCTTATCTGATATTTGTCTCTTCACACAATACTCGTGCCAAATATGCAACGGTCGAATTTTTATATTTTGTAGTACGAGCATTGTAAGCGCAATATCGCTTGAAATTAAGTCACGCGTAGATAAAGGCTATCCCGGTCCAGAACAAACAAGAAGCCGGTCACTGTTTCTACGGTACTATTAATAAACAAATCAATAATTATATATACAACAAACCTTAACGGTTTCAAGAGTACAAAGCACAACGCTTAACAGAAAGCAAGGTACCGCTATCAGAGCGGAATAACGTTAAAGCCAAAATTGCGAAATAGCCGGAACCAGACACGACCGTTCAGGTAAGCAGTCAGTAGAAGGATGAACCCAAGAAGGGCATGGCATAAAACAGAGAGCGTTTAAGAGAGATAGACCGAGCATAGGCACAAAGATAGAATTTAATTGGCTACTTAACCAGGTAGGAAAATACAGATGAAAATCAATAAATAAGATAAACTCGACAGAATAGTACAAAGTTAGACATGGGTCAGCAAAAATAACAGTTCACAAAATACTCTGATCGGGCCATGAGTTCAACTGTCTGACTAAACAGATCGAGGTAAAAACACATACACACAGTTCATTAAACAAGCAGGGATAGACACGTTAGGTATGGATAATTGGGTTGCAACAACGCTAGGCAGATCCGGGACAGGTTGACTTGATTCAAGGATGGGAATAGAATTGATCTTACACCGGCCCCCAAAATCCGACTAGGATTTTATGAATCATGTTATACAGAATAACCCTCGTGCCCGGCTCTCTTACAAATGACTTCCCTCTAGTAGGCATATCTTACGTATATCGCGCTTCACCTCGCCATTTCTCGTCCTTATTGTAACCGTTCTGACAAGTCCGTCCGCGAATTGCTCGCATCCCGCAATAACTCCTCGCGGCCAACGCCTAGCCAACCATCTTGCCACCACAGAAATCGTAATGCTCCTCGATCGTCTAATAGCACCTTCACTTGCATAAACATATCAGCTATGTCCGCGGCTACAACAATAGGCTTTTCTCGAAAGCGCAACTGAACACCAACAAGCTCGGAAATCGTATCAGGTTCTTGATATAGCTTATCGTTCAAAGAATAACCTCTAAAGGTTGCAGCACAATCTATAACTCTTCTCAGTTTATCTGGCTTTTTCGTTTTCATAACGGGATGATATGGAAGATACCACCTCGAACGATAGTTCGCTGCTAGCTGCTTTGGGGGTACCGGAAGGGCATAACCATTTTTTAACATCGTACTTATCCCCTCCACATATCGTGCTAAAAGGTTCTTGTCACACGATAACCTCTGTTTCAGATTGAGTAACGGCTTTATGGCGACTACATAATTATTGTCCGTTACCTTTGTCGGATCTTCCCATGGCAAGGGAATGATGTAATGCGCCTTTTCTACGACGGTGCTTTGAGTAACAAACTCGACTGCCTTACGATCTTCAATAGAAAATGAGTTTTTGTTTTCTTCAGTATCCTTAAGCTCAGCTTGATGTAGACTTCTGATGTCGTCTTTGATACTGTCTTTGCTGATTCGAGCGTAATTGACAGTGCCTCTTTTCGTATTTCCATGAGTTTTCCGTTCGTCGTCCTCGGCTAACTTCACATGCAGCTCGGCCATTTCGACATCATGTCTAGCCTTTAGCAACTTTTTCTCTAACTCTAACTCCTCTCGAAGCTGTTTCTCTTTTAGCTGCGCCCTTAGTAGCAACGACTTAGCACTAGTTACTCGCGATAATAATAATTTCGAACTACTGACATGAGAGCCGGGGCACGAAAGATTATCAACATGATCATTTATACGAACGGGGACTTGCCGACTCTTCGACTGCTGCCCCGAAATTTGATTCCCTGATCTGGTTTGCATTGTTCCAAAGACAATGTATTTTCAACAACGTTGTGTGCTGCCAATTCACCACAGTTTCTTCTCGATGAACGCTCAGTACTGATCAGTTCAGTACGGGATTTTCTATTTGACGTTAAATACTGACCAGTTCAGTAAGTCTCACTCCGTTTAGCGTTAAGTACTGCGGTCTCGATTTTCGTTAAGTACTGACCAGTTCAGTACGGTCTCGATCCGTTTAGCGTCAAGTACTACGTTAAGTACTGACCAGTTCAGTACGGGATTTTCTTCAATGACAATTCCTCTTTCGTTAAGTACTGACCACGTTAAGTACTGACCAGTTCAGTACGGGATTTTCTTCAATGACGATTCCTCTTTCGTTAAGTACTGATCAATTCAGTACGGTCTCCTCTGTAACGTTAAGTACTGTAAGCGCAATATCGCTTGAAATTAAGTCACGCGTAGATAAAGGCTATCCCGGTCCAGAACAAACAAGAAGCCGGTCACTGTTTCTACGGTACTATTAATAAACAAATCAATAATTATATATACAACAAACCTTAACGGTTTCAAGAGTACAAAGCACAACGCTTAACAGAAAGCAAGGTACCGCTATCAGAGCGGAATAACGTTAAAGCCAAAATTGCGAAATAGCCGGAACCAGACACGACCGTTCAGGTAAGCAGTCAGTGGAAGAATGAACCCAAGAAGGGCATGGCATAAAACAGAGAGCGTTTAAGAGAGATAGACCGAGCATAGGCACAAAGATAGAATTTAATTGGCTACTTAACCAGGTAGGAAAATACAGATGAAAATCAATAAATAAGATAAACTCGACAGAATAGTACAAAGTTAGACATGGGTCAGCAAAAATAACAGTTCA